CTCTGAATAATCTGGTCTCTACCTATCTTGTCTCAATCCACTTTCCCCCTGCCTGCTTCCTACTCCATCTACAATGGCTTGCTTCTTCTAGGCATATGCCAAACCTTTTTTTATGTTAGAACTTTCACACATATTCACACAGTAATTCCCCACCTCTGGATCTTATGCTAATCCTTCTTTCCTTTAATGTTAACTCAAATGTCTCCTCTGACAATTCTTATAAAAATTAGTCACCTTTATTTTTCTACCCTCTTCTTAATACCTTCATAATTTATTTCTTAATTTATAATTTAATACACATCTGTTTACTTTTTTCTATCTCTACTCAATATACTCTAAGTGCTTTGAGGAAAAATACTATGTTTTTTAAAATCACCATCGTATATGTGGTACCTAGAGTAGTCCCTGGCATATACTAGGTATTCAATAAACGTTTGTTGAATGGATAAACAACAGACTAAAGGAAAAGAGTTCCTTGGTCATTCAGCTTATGTTTATGAATTAATTTATGAATCTGAGAAAAAATGTATACACATACACATACTTTTTTTTTTTAAATGGTCAGGAGTTCTGTTTGTGGTCTAGGTTACTTCAGATCAGTCATCTCACTGCACACGTATAAAAGCCGTACAGAATATTTTTTAAAATTTTGCTTGAAAGCATCAGTGAGTTATAAAGGCAGCAAGGATTTGCAGATCCAAGATTCCAGATAGAAAGGAAGTCCATAGACATTGTGCCCATCATTTGGGGCACATTTTTCCTTCAAAGCATTTGTGCCTTGAGGTGGCCAAGAGGTTAAGAAGCTGAGCAGAGCTCTGAGATAGATACACAGCATGAGAGAACAAAAAAAAGAGTTCAGGCCTTTCTAAGGGTGAGAAACCCTGGTAAATACCCAGACTTTCAGTTGGGACCCCAAAGGGCTATAAGAGAATAAGTGCCTCTTTAAATGTTATGACCTAGTTGCCTCTTGTGCCTCACACCAGTTCCAGTCCTGACACTAGGAGCAAGAGTAAACCAGAAAAAGACTAACCCCCCTCACAGGAACTAAAGCCAAGCTTCAAATCATTTGAATTTCAATTGAATTAAGGTGATCAGAGATTGCTAGTGCTGTAACCCTAGCTGGCTACCAGATGCAAATGTATACCTTTACTATATAAACTTATAATCAAGAGCCTCAAATTAGTTCTATAAATTTTCAAGTACAATGTCTGGCACTCAATCAAAACAACTAGGGATATGAGAATATAAGATTTGACTAAAAACCAAGAGAAAAAAACAATTATAGGCCGGGCGTGGTGGCTCACGCCTGTAATCCTAGCTCTCTGGGAGGCCGAGGCAGGCGGATTGTTTGAGTTCAGGAGTTCGAAACCAGCCTGAGCAAGAG